TACATAGTCTTTTTGAAATAAAAATGAGTTTCACGCGAAAGATGGCGCCACAATATTATTATTGAGTGCTATTAATGAGGTACTGATATGACATCGAATTATGCAATGGCGCCGTCTCGATGTTGAACTGTGCAGTTCGCTGCAAAATGTTTTATCTACGCAATTAAGGTTTAGGTGCAAATCATCTTTTCAATTTTCTATAGAATTGAGTTATATCTCGACATGCAATTTCGTTGTAATATATGAGGTCTTGTTTAATTTTATGTATCAATAGTTTATTAAAATAAAAAGCATCATAGAATAAAAAGCATTATACAAATAAGAAAAATTTATAAAAAGAAGAACGTCAAGCGAATAAAAAAAGGAACGAAACACGACGAACAAGAAATGAAAATTTATTTTTCAATATCCTAAAAAGGTAAAAAAGAAGTGTGATGCTCTAGAAAAAAAATTAGTACGGAGCGCAAAAAAAACTACCCTCCTTGAGATTAAAATATAACTCAATATTTATTTATGATTATAAATGACCTAAATTATATACCACCAGTAACAATAGTGAATATGCAAATATACAATATATACAACAACAATTTTATACAATCTTACAATTGAAAAATTTAAATCAAACCATAGTCACTATTTTTTCACCTATGTGGACCTATTTCCCACCGCACTGATCTTTTTTGAGCTCAAAAACTAAATAACCTCTCCACATATTTTTTCGTTGAATTATATATAGAAAGATGTAGTTTTTGACAGGCTTTCTCTTGATGCAAAAAGGTTTTGACGAGAGAATTGCTCTGGTATACTTTCAGAGCAAAAATATAAACACTTTTCATAAAAAAATGATTATTTTTTTATCGATTTATTTAGTTAAAAATAACACATTAGAGACTCTTTGGACATGATTTATATTTGACAAACTTGTTCTATCATAGTGTATTTTACAGATCTAATCAAGATACGTTAATTAATACTAAAATAGAGGGATCTTTGATGCTAATATATGTAATCATAAAGTGTTACATAGAAGTCTCTAAGATTCATAAAATAGTACCTGAGGGTGGATTCAAAGATCCGTTCATATCTCTTGATAGAACTTTCAGAAGGGGCTAAAAATTTGGGTCTGAACATAACTTTTCACGAGCTTTCGAATGGTATAACTTATTTAAAGATCAAAATTTGTCGTATGCATGTTTGATCAATAGTCTGATGGATCCCTTCTTAAAATTAAATTTTCTAATATATGATAAAGAAATAGGTCCATATAGGGTGAAAAAATAGTGACTATGGTTTGATTTAAATTTTTCAATTGTAAGATTGTATAAAATTGTTCTTGTATATATTGTATATTTGCATATTCACTATTGTTACTGGTGGTATATAATTTAGGTCATTTATAATTATAAATAAATATTTAGTTATATTTTAATCTCAAGGGGGGTAGTTTTTTTTGAGCTCCGTACTACCTGAAAAGGAGAAAAGGAAACTATTGATATATCTTCATATGTTGTTGCATTTTCCTGTGTCATGGCTCGTCGACTTGTGATTGTCGTAAATTTTAATTTTTGTGGTGTTGATGTTACTGGTTGTGATAATGGTCTTGATGTAGAAATACTATTCTAAAAAGAAGAAATAATATGAGATGAGAGCTTTTTTATTGAAGTTCAGGGATCCCAAAATATATTTGCAATCAGCATCATGCTGTGAATTCTGGTCTTGTTAGATAAAATTGAAGAAAAACAGTCCTAGTTTTTGTTCCTAACAGTGATTGTAAGAACTTTTCATCTATGGTTGAGTACTAACTTTTTTTTTCGAAACTGCAATGCTTTTCCAAAATCCTTAAAATTTCTTATTCTCAGAAAAAAAATCATTTAGATTGTAGATAAAATGAAATAAAAGAAATTTATTCTTATGTGAAAAAATTATATACGAGTGCTTATTGTATAAAAGCAGTTTTAAAATAATGAGTGCCATATTTTCCTGTCTCTCCCAATATTATCATAAGAAGGATTCGGCATAATTATCGTCAGTATTTTTCCAAACGTTTTCTACTATATTGAAGCAGGGCAAAAGAGTTAAAAAATAAGTTAATTAAACTGACTGATTTATTGATTGATTTTCTTTGATTGCCATTATCTAAACTACTTTTTGAATAATTATGTTCCATGCGTATTATAGATAAAATATCATTCTCGACTTTATCGCTATCATCATTTATTGAAGACATAGATTGATGGGATGATCGAAAGAAACTTGACGATTCATAATCGCTACTCTCTTGAGTTGATGCATTATTCTAGAAAAAAAGCAGTTAAAGTCGATTGATAAATTTCAAAATAGACTTAATTAACCTCAGAATCAACATTTTGTGATACTTCATTTTCTGTTGCTGAAAGATCGAGTAGACTCAATTCACAGCTGTTTCTATTGAATTTCTTGTTAAAATCAGTGTCGTTGATTAGAATTTGTTTCAAGTAAAAAGCTTGTGAATTCTAAAATCGAACTAAAAGCTGAATCGAATCTTACTAAAAAAATTTACATTGACGTGATTTCTATTCTGGCATTTTGTCGAAGAACATCTGCATAAAAGTGTACAGATTAAATTTCTTCTGCCACAAGTGCAACGGTGACAGCTTCCTGTACACTTTCCACAAACAGATAATCGATCGTCAGTTGGAAAACAGCTAAGTGATAACCATTTTAACTGAACATCATTTTGTCGTATCTCATAACCTTCAGAGTTCTCCACTGTTTGTATCGTCATATCCGATTGATATACTTGAGACCATATTTGAATTTGACGAGCTGCTCTTTGGCAATGGAAATAAAAAGCATCGGAAGTTGGTGGGAGAGTAGGGGCAACAAATGATGCACGATTTTGTTTAAAAGATGAGCTCGCCACTGTTGCTCTAAGGTCATCAAGAGATGATGCTGTATTTGTATATGAATAGCAGTCAAGTAATAAGCGTTCAGCACATGAAATTCCGTCCACTAAAAAATTCTCATGTTCAAATAAATAGAAAAAATTTGACAAAGTAAATTCCAAGGAACTGTTATTGAATAAAGGTGCTAAGATTTTATTTTTATAATTGAATGTCAATAAAAGTTCTTACTTGATAAAGGTACGGAGAAAAGGTGATTAAGATTTGAATATCGAGACGTGTTTGAGAGAAATGTTCGAAACATATTCGTCTTGGATATATTTCTAATGAATGAAGTCGTGTCACAACCTGATAATGCATGAATAACAAGTAAAATTATTGGATCAATAAGGAATTTCTTTTTTATTGCAAGAGCAATTTCACGAATATTGATATATGTATAAAATTTTCCTTTGGTATTGAAAGATTTAATAAAAAAATTATTAACATCTAATGACAATGCATGTGCTATACCCAAAATAATGACATCAGTATCATATGATTGACAAACAATAGATTTAATATTTTCATATGAAATAGCTTGTGCATGTATGAATAATCTTGTTGCAGCTTCTGCATGATTTGATACCAATAAATAATCATTAATAGGATCACAATATTTTTTTAATGTTACTGATGATTCATCTGGTCCAGCGATAACTAACACCTTTCCATCTGGTAAAGCCTGAATGGATGTACTAGCAGACCAACATTCTCTAATACGAGAAGCTATTATGGCTTCATTATTCATAACTAATTGATGGTAATCAGAGTCAAAAACATCATCACATTTAAGATCATAAGAAGGCTGTAAATTCTTCTCTATATGACGAGAGACAAAAGACTTCTCTATTTTACTTTTTACCGAGTCGAACACGACATCGATACGATTAAAAGAGTTGAAATTATAAACAATTATCTAAACAAAAAATTTTGCAAACAGATTTTCATGTATTTATATTTACCATTTTTAATAATTGATTTGCATATTGACGAACTGTTACACGTTTTCCAACTGGCTTTATCTGAAGTATACTTCTTCCATCGATGATCAAAGCTTGTGTTTCATGAATAGATGGAGGTGAAGATGAAAATGATGTAGAAAATTGGCTTTTTATATAATCAATAATTGAAGATTTATTTTGTTGGTACATTATATTGTAATCACGTAGGTCACATAAAGATAATGGTGCAATAGTAAATTCATGAGAAAAGACAGATGATAATGTAATATTTCGTTGTTCTGCAACAATTACAGCATCACGCATAAGCCTATCTATTGAATTGAGGTTCTTTGATAAATCTCTAGAATGAGTGTTTAACAAATTTTTTTTCTTTGTATTAGGTCGTTCACCAGGTACGTAATGGTCAGCATCTGATAGTTCTAAACAAAGATTTCATAAATAATAAAACGCATTTAGGTTAAACGATGGTTTACTTAAGAACGTCATTGTTGTCAATGGTTCATCAATTTTTATAGTTTTATTAATTAAACGGTCTACAATATAACTACGCATGGCTTCTTCACCACGAACAAATGAACTGGTAATACTATTGATTATGTCATCATGTATAATTTTTCCAGAAAACAATTTTCGAAATTGTGGAGCATTGGATGAAAATATCTCCTCTTGTTTCAATTTCATTAAAATAATACGTAAGTCTTTGTTGTCTTTCATTTGTCTTTCAGGTGTGGATTCAATATGAGAATCGAGACTATTTGCATGAGTTTCGACTTCATATATTTCATGTAAGATACTGCTTAATGTTGCTCGATAGGCAAAGGAGTTTGTCCATACATCAATGGTGTCATTGGTAAACTTACCGGAGATGCCGCCATGACTTTTTCCATATTTGTTAATCGAACTTTCAATAGTCTGATCCAATGCGATGTCTAGAAAAACGGTAATTACTAGTAAATTTTATGTATGATTTTTTGATCGCTTACTTGAAAATGGCCTTTCAGTTCTCACAACTGAAAACGATTTTGATAAACGATTCAGTAAATATGGACTTGCATTTGACAGATCATACAAATGTTGGGCACAAAGACGTGCATAGTTCCGATGGTTGCTAGAAAAAAATAATGGAGCTATTCTTGCGACACAAGCATTTCTGGATTTAAAATTCGACGTTCTAATAGAACAATATAATATCATCAATGGTTCAAATAAATGACGTAACATAAAATACCAAAAATCAAATAATCTTGATTGCTTGGCTTTACTTTCTGCCCAATTCGATAATTCTAATACTAAATTTTCTTCTTCAATAAAAGTAACTAATTTATTAAACCATATTTGTTTTATTGAATTAACATGATATTCAGTGGGAGAACTTTCAGAAAACGTACGGATCTTATTAACTAATAATGAAGAATCTGATGAAGGTGTTGTAATAGTATTAGACAATATGTTTGATGCTACATATGATTCTACAAGTAACATATATAATGCTGTGAATAACAATTTGCAACTTCTGAAAGATTTATTAAAGTGATGGACATTCAATATGGATTTGAGTGTTGCACTTCTATACATAATTCCTAATATATGTTCCACCCCTGATCCTTCTAACATTTGCCAAATAAGAATCATCGTCGTCTTCATCAAGTGAAAATCACCAGGATATATAAAACATTTATCAAATTCAATTGGATTATTTCTGATAACCTGAATTACAAGAAAATGAAACAGATGCATTGTATGAAATGTATATTTCAATATACTTTAATGCAATTATTGTACAATCTTTCATCAACTATGATAAGTGCTTCCTGCTGATGGTTCGAGTCAAGTACAGTAGTTTTCGTTTCTCGTAAGCATGTCTCTGCAGTTCTAATATCAGTTGGATTTTCTTTGATTGGTGTGCAAAATTTTATGGAATGCATAGGCCGTTTTTGAGAAACTAAGTAAGTTGCAAAAAATCCTGAGAGAAGCGGAAAATTAATCGACTTGGATAAAATCAATGTTCCATCATTATTGAATAAAGAAAAACATTTTGCAAAACAGTAGGCAAGCAGATTTGAATGAAATGAATTATCAATGAAGGAATCATATTTATTTAATTTTTTCGGTGATGTATTTATTGTGGATAAACATGATGACGAATTGAACATGCAAATTTGATCACACATATCATTAAGGAGGTGTTCACATATGAGAGAAACTTCATTGTTTCTAAAATGAAAAAAAGGAGTCTTCCATTTTCATTGAAATAACTACACAAATCTTTACTCTGGGGTTTGAACAACAATTTGATTCAATATGTGTATACTATTTGCACCGTAAAGTGTTTCTGTATTCATGTCGAAGTTGTCGGCAACCTTAACTGCATACTGATGTTTACTGATCGAAGCTAAAAACGATTGTCCTTGCTTAAGCACCTCGGATGGGATTTTGGCCTTTTCAGCAGCTTCCTGCTGTAGTCGGCACATTGTACGATAACTACATGTGTGACCCATCCGATTGGTGATTGTCAACAACTGAGCAGACCTTTCATGTCTCAAAAGTTCATTGCCTAGAAGATAATGCTTGGGTGTGATAAAACATCTATTAGTAGCATTTATGATGTCATAGGATATTGATGCAATCTTCAACCGTTTATGATCTTGAACAAATATGTCATCACACAATACTGAAAGACACCATATTCAAGGTTCTTTTTAAAGAGAAAAGAAAAAAAAATATCTACATGAATAAAAATCATAGTTTTTTTTAATTTGATTGAATTGCCTGCCACTCATTGTCAGCATTCCAATAAAATTTTTCAAAACAGTTGGAACATAATTCCAAAACATGGATGAATCGAAATCGACAAGACTCATACGATTACATCCTAACATGGTAAAAAGATGTGCATGACTTTCAATGGACTCCCGTAGGAGCTGAATCGTATCAAACAAAGATTCACATCGTGCTGTTTCCATCGTTTCATATTTGGTAGTTGACAAAAGAGTTTCGGATTCTTTTTTTCCGTATGATGATATGCATACATGCTTATCGAAAAAAATTGATAAATCGTTAAGGGTCACATACAAGCCTTCATACTTCGATCTACGATAAAAGAATATATAATCACCAAATTTAAGTTCTAATCGTGCTCGAATAGCATTGCCAAGTAAAATAGCAGGTGAATAGGGTTCTTTTCGTCTGCTCAGAATATTTTCATAAGTAATTTTAATGTCACTCATAGCAACAATTTCTCCTTTCACTAATAAATTTCTAAGCCAGTGGCATAATTCTTCAAACCCGTCGACAAACGTATTCATTAATTGTGTGTCGTCATCAGCATTTAAAGTTGAGTTTTCTCCATTCCATGATGGTAATGTTGAAAATCGTTTCGAGTTTCTCCTTGATGAGCTTCGGTATCTTTTTAAATTTTTTCTGTTTGATATAATCTAAATTAACAAGATGCAGATAACAATGCTATTCATTTTGTCTAATTTAACAATCCTTAACTTTTTTACGACTTTTCGTATTCACATTTAATTCATAGTCTATTTTATTTAGTATTGATGTACCAATATTGGATTGATCTTCAATCGTGATATTTTCCATTGATAATTCTTTACATGAGTTGAAGATTTCATAAGCGTCTGCATGTTGTCCGGATGTTGTTTGTTGTTGATTTTGATGGTTTTCCTAGACATAAAATAATATGATTAGAGTCTATGAATAATTGCTTTTATCGTTAGAAAAACTCATAGGATAAAGATGAATTAGTGAAAATGAAAATCTATACGGTTACATGAAAAACAAGAGTTGCACTCCAGAAAATAAGTAAAATTACCAACTATTTAGTACATTAATTTTCAATTTTTCAAGAGTGAGTTCACTAATAGCTACATGAAATAAATTTTAATTGTGAAGAGCCGAGAGTGTCCACATACCTGTTCAATTGTACCTTCGTTGATGTAAGACTGATTACACAAAAAACTGCCACTGCCATCTAGATTCTGTTCTGGTTCCACCAAACGAGCATTTAAATCAATATTGGTAGACTCTAATGAAACTACTTCAAAAATCATATTATGAGATAAACTACAATATTGGTATAGGTGATAACCTTTCTTTCGACACATAGCTATTGAGGATCCATTTGTTGTCGATCCATACATTATTTCACTGAACTCGTTAGAGCATATATCCGGTACATTCTCGTCACAGTTGTTTAAAACAGTTGACGATTGATTTATTTCAGTAACCTTTATCATCAAAAAAAGATTACTTATTTCTGTCTACAATCTGAAGTACGAGTGTACTTACTTCTTTCTCAAGAGTATCTTCTTCCGCATTAGGGTTCTCAACAGGTTTGCTCAATGAAACGTCGTTTTGACCATTCTTTGCTAATGGTGAATGTTTCAGTACTCGTTGTTGCTGTATTTTAATTGGTGGTAATTTTCGAGTGATTTTTATATAACATGCCTTGTGAGCATGACTGTTAATCAAAGATTCAGCAGATATATCGGTTCCAAATCGATTCCAATAACCCATGCGAAGTTTATTCTCACTTTCAGCTGAATTAATTATTATATAACTTTTTTTCGAA